ATTTATTCTGTACAGTGGCACTCAATAACCAGTTTGATTCCTTCAGATTATATTTATTACTTAAAGTTTTGAGAGTGCTCTCCAGTTTAACTCTAAACTGCTGTAAACGTTTGTAAGTGTGATCTGGAGATTTTAAATTAACAATGATATTCACTAGATACAACCTACTTTGTTCTGTATTTCTGTAAGTGACCTTCAACAAGTCAACTGTTTCCTTGTAAGAATCATCTACATTGGGAAAGGCTTGTATGAGTATGTGAGCATCTCCTCTTACCTGTCCTTTGAGGTGAAATAATTTAGTTACACAGGCTAGGTCACTTCTGTCATGCACAGCTGCTTTAAAAATTGACCAAAACTCCTCTCAGTTTTCTCCAGGATTAAATACAGGTAAACATAATTCTGGGAGTTTTGGCAGACATCTTATTTGTTGGAGCAGATTGATTAACTGCCTGGTTTACACATTTTAATTTATTCAAGGCCTGACTTTTACAAGAAAGAATCTTTTCCTCTAATTCATAATACTGATTAATCATAAGATCTACTTCAGTCTCATCTACACAGTTTACTAACAAATCTCCTTCATATTTATTGTAATATAATTTGTATGAATCATATCTATTACCTAAAGCATCTAAATACAATTTTAAATCATCAGTATTCACAGTTTCTTGATTCATTAATTCCAAACATTTATTATATGCCTTGGTTACATGACCCTTTCAAGCTTGCACTAATGCTTTCTTTGCTCTATATTTCATATGTTTGTGTTCTACATTAATTTCCTCATTTTCAGCCATGATGCAATGTATTAAATTCAACTTAATTAATAACACTGATTACAACTTACAACACTGATACCACTTACCTTTGAATAAATCCTAGCTACTTGAGCTTAGCAATTACATGCAAAAAAAATTATAATATAAATTTTAAATGTACATTAATACTAACAAACCTTTAGCCAGACTTGGCTTATCAAAATTATTATACAAATTAATATAAAACCTTGCCAGAATTTGACAGCAAAATTAACATTATACACAATATAATATTTAGCTACACTTGTCTTATCAATTACACATACACTGATATAAATCTTGGCCAGAATTGCCTTATCAAATTAATATTATACAAATTAAAGCAAAATTAATATTATGCACAATATAATTTTTAGCCACACTTGACTTAGCTTATCCAAATTAATATTGTAATAATTATAATCCACTACACTGTCATTTCACATATAATTATTAAGTAATTAGCTAATTAATGATTTCACTAATTACATCCAGTTCGAAGGACCAATGGGCAAATTAAATGTGGAAAATTACATTTATCTGAATGTATCATTATGTACCCCTTTACAGGTTTAGCACCTGATTTGATTATTTCATTTCATCATTATGTACATAACAGTAAATGTACAAAGATAGTTATTATTTATCGGTTAGACAAGTAGGAATTTGGGACACCTAGGTCGCAAAAAATGTCCTCCTTCGATACCTACCACTGTCATATCCACAAGTTGCTCTGGACCTATTAATTACAAATGAAATATACATCTCCAGGAATGCTGGTAAATATATAAATTTGTGGACTGTATATTAAAATTAAAAAAGGATTATATATACACACATTTATATAACAGAAGGAGAATATATCTTAATCATAACACTCATCAATTTGACTGAAGATTAATGTGTATCATACTCAGAAAACCTCACTGCCTGTCTATGAAAATAACACTGGCCAGGTTACTACATAAGACTTATCTGAGGTTCCTGGAGTTGTCTTGTCCAGTCGCCTGATATCTCAAGTTATGCAAGAATGCACATCCAACAATTTCACCTCCTATTTGAGAGGTGTCAACCCAATTTTAACCTCTAGAGCTCGAAAATTCTTCACATTATTAATTAACGTTTGTTACTCTCAATTCAAAACAAACAATGGCGAGTGTCTCTTCTGCACAGGCGCAGGCTCAGTTTCCCATTTTCTATGACATAAATGTTATTAAATACAGTATGGCCATCTATATACATATAACTACTGTATTTCTGGAAAATATACAGTATTTTCCACAACTGGTGTCTGAGTGTACTCTCCTAAATTTCCCCATACTATCTCTACATCGCTGCTGGCAAATTCTTGTTCTGTTTCCATAGAATATCAACGAACTATTACTGCTGCACAGTTTTGTGACTAAATTGAAGGTTGAATCAGGTATGACGCATGAGAGATGTCTGCTGCTACAAGGGATATTAATCGCAGATCTCTGCTTTGGTTTCTTCGTAATGTGGAGGGGGAGGACTAACCCCAGAGCAATAAGACCAGCAATTTCGTGAAGCAGGTGGTTTACAGTGTTTGTCTCAAGGTGAGTCATCTCTTTTGGCACTCAAATTGGCAAAACTATTTCTTGAAGCAACAAACGAGAGCAACGTGCATTTGCCAAAATGATAGAGAGAAGGAGAGGAGGCAATTTTAGAAGTGTTGGTAACAAGTTTGGTGTGCAAAAAAACATTGTTGCTAACACCTCAATTTGTTGATAATGAGCTTTAGATTGCTTCAAGGAACGGATGGGAAGTGTGTGTCATGAGGGCATTGCCGCCTTATCATTAATAGACAAAGGGACAGTAGTGACCATTCGAACAATCTCAGGAAACTAGGTCCCTTATACAAGTCAGGAAATTCAACGTAGAACTAATTACATAGAGTGTATAATGCCTCTGTGCGACTTTCTTGACTGAACATTGATAGTGCTGAAATATACAGTGTTATTTAGTGCTCTCCCTGCTGTTAATAAGTCCACATAACTGTGAACAAATGATGGTATGGAGTGATGTAGAATGTAACATATACTGCCAGTGATTGCAATGAACATTCCCAACGTGACAAACATTAGTGCAACATTCCACATTCCTAGACACTTTGTTAGTCAAGTCTCCGATATCGATCTTGTGTCAACATCAATGACACAGGAATCCAGCTGTGAGTCAGGCAGGTTTTATTCCTCTTTCATTTACCCCAAAACACTGAAGGGTTAAGGTACAGTATATGTAAGTAGAATATTGTCTGTCTTATAAAAAATGATAGGAATACCATCTACAAAACCCAGTGAGTGCCACTACCCATTTCAGATAATAGTGAAATGCTGGATATATTCTCCTTTTGGGCAAATTGTATGACTAACTAACTTGTTAATCAACAACCTCTGTTGACATTGAGACAGCATCACAAAGGGATTTCCCGGAAGCGGCTGCAGGAAATTGTGATATTAAAAGATAACTAATAATTGTCTTATGTTTGTTTCATGCAGAAAGTGAATTTATCTAAGCAGTTTCTCCACACCTTTTGTATGCATACTAGACCTCCTTAACTGTTACTATCATGCGCCTAAATCTCTGTCCTTGTAATTCCATGAGGTCATTATCAATTCAGTGACCCCATTCAGAACGCAGAATTCACCTGCCACATTCCAAAGGCTGATCCATCAGGATATTGAAGACTTGAAGGCATGACAGCATATCTAGATGATATAGTAGTAGTTTCTGATACGAGAAACCAACATGTTGCCCAACTTAAAGCTCTCTTTATAAGGTTTAGGGACTGTCAGTTAACTGTTAACCTATGTTAATCATTCTTTAGTCAGTCTACTATTACGTTTTTGGGCCATGAGGTAGGTAGTGGTAAAGTGGCCCCTGAATTACTTAAAACTCCTACCATTAAGAATTACGCAGTACCTCATGATACCAAATCCCTCCAGCGATTCTTACATATGGTAGGTTTCTACATACGCTTCTCTATTTTAAATAATGCACCCATTCTCCTGTCTCCAGAATTTTTTAAATATTTTAAGTTATAGGTTGATGCATGTGCCTCATGGGTGAGGGCAGTAATTTTACAAACATCTGAAGAGGAGTGGTTGCAGCCTGTGGCATATATTTTTAGCCAAGTATCAATAACATCAATGGGTATGTTGTACTATAGACAAAGAAATTCTGGTTCTGATACTTATGCTGGAACACTTTGACATTTTCCTTGGACAGTCATTTAATGGGGTCACAGTCTACAGAAAGCATAACACTCTAATCTACCTCAACGCCATGAAAAACTATAACACCATAGTGTTGAGATGGAGTTTCAGGCTGCAGCCTTATAATGTCAAGATCCTCCACATATCTGAGAATTATAACTATTTGGCAGATACCCTTTCTCGTGTTTAGGTTAGGATGTGAAATAGACTATATGGGTATCAAGTTCCTTTTTTCTTTTCTTAAAATGTTTATTTCCTGACGAACCTTACCTAACATAGCTGATTCCCTGTTTTCCAGGTATTCGTGACAGGTGAGAATTTGAAGGTTTTTGAAGAGGTCGAAGATAGTGGTAAAGATGATGGCTGGATGATGTGATAAATCTTTCACTTGGATGAGGTGAGGCCCTGAGTGTCTGTGAGGGAGGACAGGTATGGTGGAGAGCAGACGATATGGGGCTTTGAGTTTGTGATGAGGGTAGTGCTTATGAGAAAGGATCCTGCACTGGCGAGATTAGGAATAGGGATGTTGGTGGGGATGAATGGTGGAAGACGGTGGTTTATTCTGAATTATTTTACTTGAGTGGGAAAGAGAGTTAGAGCTTGAGAGAGTGTTTAGACGGCCCATATGTGTTTGTGTGTGTTTGTACATGCCAACATGCTTGAACGTGAATGTTTGGTGATGGTGGGAGACAACGAGACTAATGATCTTACGAACGCTAGGATTTGATAAATCTTTCTGAAACTAGCAGAATAACTCGGTGTTTGCAAGTTATATTCCGTGCCTCGTAGAATTAATTATAAATGTGAAATAAAATTTAGGAAAAACACTCTCATTTTAGTAGATCCTTCGATAGTTAAAAGTTGTCTTCCTCGCAGCTTCCATTATAAGATTCGGAGAATTTGGATGTACCAAAATGAGGTTAACATAATTTAAGTAAAAATTGTTGATTTAACATCATTGATGACTCACTAGGCTTTCTCGGGTGAAGTAATACTTAGCAAGCAAAGTCATCACGTCGTCTAGATCAGCTGGGCCCAGCACCACATACTTCAGCGCAGGAACCTCACTCATCCTTACTCAGCACCTTCTCTGCCCTGTGTGTGAGATATTTTAAATAATTAACACTGCAAATTATTCACTAACTTTACGAAGAGTTAATGTTTGTTTAATATTATATTTGATTTATATTATTGTACAGGATTTTGAACTTATGGCGACTTCAAATACATTTGGTAATAAACATCTCATCACTGTGTGACTCACATCTCCGTCATCTTGATGTTAACAACAATGTTTACTGATCCATCTTACCCCACATCTCTCACTTATTCTTACCACCTATTGTTAGATAACGTAAAGTCAGTACATGAAAAGCCGGGTTGTGATTCATGCGTTGATTTGCGTGCCTCCAGCAGTAACAGCCTGGTTGATCACGCTTTGATCCACCACCAGGCCTAGTCACAAACCGTGCCACGGGGCGTTGACCCCCGAAACCCACCACAGGTAAACCCAAGGTATACAACTCAATCACAATAACACAAAATAACAGAAACAACTTGAACAATATAAAGAACAATAACTACAACAAAAGCAAAAAGAACAGTAAAAACAGCAGGAACAATAACAACAATAATAACAATAACAACAACACAACAGCAACAACAACGTTAAATACATTGACATCGACTCCTTTATTAAGTAATAAATATCTGGCACTAAGTGTAATCTTTGCTGGAATATCTTGTCACAAACCAACTTTAAATCTTATATATCACAAGTACATCAAATAAAATAAAATAAAATGAAATCTATTGTTAAGTCACATGTCGTAAACTTTACCTGATAGAGAGCAAAGGTGAAAATAAGGCCGCGGCAGGATGTCGGAAGATGGAAGTAAACCCATTAGTCTACTGATACTCTTAATAAACCATCGTAACTAGTACTACAGTTGTAAGAGGGAAGTAACTACTAGACTACTGATACTCTTAATAAACCATCGTAACTAGTACTACAGTTGTAAGAGGGAAGTAACTACTAGACTACTGATACTCTTAATAAACCATCGTAACTAGTACTACAGTTGTACGAGGGAAGTAACTACTAGACTACTGATACTCTTAATAAACCATCGTAACTAGTACTACAGTTGTACGAGGGAAGTAACTACTAGACTACTGATACTCTTAATAAACCATTGTAACTTGTACTACAGTTGTACGAGGGTAGTAACTACTAGACTACTGATACTGTTAATATACCATCGCAACTAGTACTACAGTTGTAAGAGGGAAGTAACTACTAGACTACTGATACTCTTAATAAACCATCGTAACTAGAACTACAGTTGTACGAGGGAAGTAACTACTAGACTACTGATACTCTTAATAAACCATCGTAACTAGAACTACAGTTGTACGAGGGAAGTAACTACTAGACTACTGATACTCTTAATAAACCATCGTAACTAGTACTATAGTTGTACGAGGGAAGTAACTACTAGACTACTGATACTTTTAATAAACCATCGTAACTTGTACTTCAGTTGTACGAGGGAAGTAACTACTAGACTACCAATACCTTAATAAACCATCGTAACTTGTACTACAGTTGTACGAGGGAAGTAACTACTAGACTACTGATACTCTTAATAAACCATTGTAACTTGTACTTCAGTTGTACGAGGGAAGTAACTACTAGACTACCAATACTCTTAATAAACCATCGTAACTTGTACTACAGTTGTACGAGGGAAGTAACTACTAGACTACTGATACTCTTAATAAACCATCGTAACTAGTACTACAGTTGTACGAGGGAAGTAACTACTAGACTACTGATACTCTTAATAAACCATTGTAACTTGTACTTCAGTTGTACGAGGGAAGTAACTACTAGACTACTGATACTCTTAATAAACCATTGTAACTTGTACTTCAGTTGTACGAGGGAAGTAACTACTAGACTACCAATACTCTTAATAAACCATCGTAACTTGTACTACAGTTGTACGAGGGAAGTAACTACTAGACTACTGATACTCTTAATAAACCATCGTAACTTGTACTTCAGTTGTACGAGGGAAGTAACTACTAGACTACTGATACTCTTAATAAACCATCGTAACTAGTACTACAGTTGTAAGAGGGAAGTAACTACTAGACTACTGATACTCTTAATAAACCATCGTAACTAGTACTACAGTTGTACGAGGGAAGTAACTACTAGACTACTGATTACTCTTAATAAACCATCGTAACTAGTACTACAGTTGTACGAGGGAAGTAACTACTAGACTACTGATACTTCTTAATAAACCATTGTAACTTGTACTACAGTTGTACGAGGGAAGTAACTACTAGACTACTGATACTCTTAATAAACCATCGTAACTAGTACTATAGTTGTACGAGGGAAGTAACTACTAGACTACTGATACTTTTAATTAAACATCGTAACTTGTACTTCAGTTGTAGAGGGAAGTAACTACTAGACTACCAATACTCTTAATAAACCATGTAACTTGTACTACAGTTGTACGAGGGAAGTAACTACTAGACTACTGATACTCTTAATAAACCATTGTAACTTGTACTTCGTTGTACGAGGGAAGTAACTACTAGACTACCAATACTCTTAATAAACCATCGTAACTTGTACTACAGTTGTACGAGGGAAGTAACTACTAGACTACTGATACTCTTAATAAACCATCGTAACTAGTACTACAGTTGTACGAGGGAAGTAACTACTAGACTACTGATACTCTTAATAAACCATTGTAACTTGTACTTCAGTTGACGAGGGAAGTAATACTAGACTACTGATACTCTTAATAAACCATTGTAACTTGTACTTCAGTTGTACGAGGGAAATAACTACTAGACTACCAATTCTCTTAATAAACCATCGTAACTTGTACTACAGTTGTACGAGGGAAGTAACTACTAGACTACTGATACTCTTATAAACCATCGTAATTGTACTTCAGTTGTACGAGGGAAGTAACTACTAGACTACTGATACTCTTAATAAACCATCGTAACTAGTACTACAGTTGTAAGAGGGAAGTAACTACTAGACTACTGATACTCTTAATAAACCATCGTAACTAGTACTACAGTTGTACGAGGGAAGTAACTACTAGACTACTGATACTCTTAATAATCCATCGTAACTTGTACTTCAGTTGTACGAGGGAAGTAACTACTAGACTACTGATACTCTTAATAAACCATCGTAACTAGTACAACAGTTGTAAGAGGGAAGTAACTACTAGACTACTGATACTATTAATAAACCATCGTAACTAGTACTACAGTTGTACGAGGGAAGTAACTACTAGACTACTGATACTCTTAATAAACCATCGTAACTAGTACTACAGTTGTACGAGGGAAGTAACTACTAGACTACTGATACTCTTAATAAACCATTGTAACTTGTACTACAGTTGTACGAGGGAAGTAACTACTAGACTACTGATACTCTTAATAAACCATCGTAACTAGTACTACAGTTGTACGTGGGAAGTACCTACTAGACTACTGATACTCTTAATAAACCATCGTAACTTGTACTTCAGTTGTACGAGGGTAGTAACTACTAGACTACCAATACTCTTAATAAACCATCGTAACTTGTACTTCAGTTGTACGAGGGTAGTAACTACTAGACTACCAATACTCTTAATAAACCATCGTAACTAGTACTACAATTGTACGAGGGAAGTAACTACTAGACTACCAATACTCTAATAAACCATCGTAAACTTGTATACAGTTGTACGAGGGAAGTAACTACTAGACTACTGATACTTTTAATAAACCATCGTAACTTGTACTTCAGTTGTACGAGGGAAGTAACTACTAGACTACCAATACTCTTAATAAACCATCGTAACTTGTACTACAGTTGTACGAGGGAAGTAACTACTAGACTACTGATACTCTTAATAAACCATCATAACTTGTACTACAGTTGTACGAGGGAAGTAACTACTAGACTACTGATACTCTTAATAAACCATCGTAACTAGTACAACAGTTGTAAGAGGGAAGTAACTACTAGACTACTGATAATATTAATAAACCATCGTAACTAGTACTACAGTTGTACGAGGGAAGTAACTACTAGACTACTGATACTCTTAATAAACCATCGTAACTAGTACTACAGTTGTACGAGGGAAGTAACTACTAGACTACTGATACTCTTAATAAACCATTGTAACTTGTACTACAGTTGTACGAGGGAAGTAACTACTAGACTACTGATACTCTTAATAAACCATCGTAACTAGTACAACAGTTGTACGAGGGAAGTACCTACTAGACTACTGATACTCTTAATAAACCATCGTAACTTGTACTTCAGTTGTACGAGGGTAGTAACTACTAGACTACCAATACTCTTAATAAACCATCGTAACTTGTACTTCAGTTGTACGAGGGTAGTAACTACTAGACTACCAATACTCTTAATAAACCATCGTAACTAGTACTACAGTTGTACGAGGGAAGTAACTACTAGACTACCAATACTCTTAATAAACCATCGTAACTTGTACTACAGTTGTACGAGGGAAGTAACTACTAGACTACTGATACTCTTAATAAACCATCGTAACTTGTACTTCAGTTGTACGAGGGAAGTAACTACTAGACTACCAATACTCTTAATAAACCATCGTAACTTGTACTACAGTTGTACGAGGGAAGTAACTACTAGACTACTGATACTCTTAATAAACCATCGTAACTTGTACTACAGTTGTACGAGGGAAGTAACTACTAGACTACTGATACTCTTAATAAACCATCGTAACTTGTACTACAGTTGTACGAGGGTAGTAACTACTAGACTACTGATACTCTTAATATAGCACCGTAACTTGTACTACAGTTGTACCAGGGTAGTAACTACTAGACTACTGATACTCTTAATAAACCATCATAACTTGTACTACAGTTGGACGAGGGAAGTAACTACTAGGCTACTGATACTCTTAATAAACCATCATAACTTGTACTACAGTTGGACGAGGGAAGTAACTACTAGACTACTGATACTCTTTAAATAAACCATATAACTTG